TCCTAAATCTTTTGAAACTACCTTCTCTTGCAAGACTTCATCTCGCTCCACATTTTGCTTGTGCGATTTGATCTCAGCATTTTCAGAAGGCTTAGCTATCTCCTCATCGGAGTCAGATAGTGCGGAGGCCGGGAAAGGAAACATTTCGGGGACTGAAACTCCACCGGTGCTAGGTCGTAGTGGCTGCTTAGGAACTTCTGGAAAATCTAACGAGTCAAATTCAGACTCAGATTCTGTTTGTTTATCAGAGACTTGTTCTGATGCAGGTTGCTGCAACTCATCAAACCTTTCCTTGGGAAGAGGGACCTTAGCCCCACTAACGAATTGTGTGGGGCCATTCTGCACAGCAGAGGGAAACGATCATGAAGATTGAAGAGAGAACAAAATCAAGCCAGTAAAGACTAAACTATACCAGTAAGTCGTCATGTGACTTCAACAGCTCATTTTCAGAAGCACTTGGATCCCAATCTAGCTCATTCTCCTCTGCAATTTCCTTCAGCAGCTTCAATTTCACATCAGGAGCAGGTGCTCGAATAGATAGCAACTCTATCAGCTGTCATGATCCCCAGAAAAAGAGAAAAAAGAAACTAAGTAATAAGAAACAGTTCTTTATGGTTTAGCTATGTCATAAACGGCAACAAAGGTAACCTGGCGGTTGACACCACATTCTGGCATGAGCTCCGTAGCAGCAGTGACGAATTCTTTCCCATATTTACCGACGAACAGCATCTGAACCTGTAGCAGTTCGGGAAGATCTGCACATCTTGGTGCAGCAAAACATACACTTGAAATAGCTTCTTTCAGATCTAGGGGGCATTCCCTGGACATTGTAAAACCTTTCGGGCTTCAGCTCTTATCCAAATATTCAAGTTAACAAATTCATTCAACAAAATCTAACTAGAGGTCCAGAACATTAAGAGTTGGAAAGAAACCCTACATATTACATGAGGGCTCAGGTTCACAAGTCCCACTTATTAGTTTCATTCTACTAACAAGTGCTAGTTCTCCAAGTATAGCATGAAAACAAGGATAAAATGTAGGAACACCACCATTATACTTCATCATTCTGTTTTTTTTTTTGGGACAAAGGTGCAGTTATGTATTATAAAAAAGGAAACCCAGCACATGATTCTGTTTCATTTTAAAAGAAGAAAAATCGAAGATGAAATGCTTTAGCTCCGTCTAGGAACTAGAGATCCAGGTTTATGGTCTTATCGTAGATGATTGAACTTCTTTATGGCTTCACCTCCCATAACATAAGCAAGAAGAGCTGGTAAGCTGTATTCCCTACATACTTACTGGTCATATCAGCAGAAGTTAATCCGTACTAGATCCTTCCTTCACTACAATTGACTTTATGTAGAAAGACCAAACATGGTGCTGCTCGGACACATTTACATAATTTCATTTAATCAACCTACAGCGTGGATAACCGAATTTACACTACTTTTAAAACTAGATGACACTTTTTTAATACATGTAAGTTGCAGATTAAAGGACTAGGATCTAAGAATGGACCAAAGTTGCTCCATGTTTTCAATATAGTGAAGATTATTCTCGCAAAAGAAGTAAAGAACAGCAAGGGTGGAGAACAGTAGATCTGAGAGTTTGGTGCTGAAGGAGATATGGAACTAAATGTTGAAAACAGCAGCAGCAGTAGATGGAGAACGCGAGAGGCAAGCAACGGAGATGGAGAGGAAGATTTGATCTCCTATACCATTACGATTATAATTAAACTTCAGTCAGCTAATTTTCTTGTAGTCTTTATATCACGTGTAACCCAATTTAATGACATATTTGCAGCTCGAGTAAAGTTAAAGGGCTCTTACTGCTAAAAAAATATACAAGACCAGCATAAGTTGACAAAAATGCAATACTACAGGTAGGTCAACCTCACAACTGGGATTTAACATCTGAAAATGTGTCAAAACAAATTATATAACCAAGAAAAACAAATATTAACTGTTTTATGTGCACTTTTTGACAAAGCACAACAGGTGATCATCTAATGCATCATATAGGAACCCTCTTATAGTTTTTATCATTCACCCGTATATTCTTAATCCTAAGATCTAATGTAAGCATATTCAGTTGCTCATCTATAAACTGAAGAAACAACTTAGGATACTGCAATTGTGCCCACAATATAGAATCTCAAAAACATCAATATACACACAACATCGAATCTCAAAAAACATTAACACAAGGGAGTATCACGCTACCTTTGTGCTTCGATAATTGGAAGACGAACAGATATAAGCTCGCAGAATAGCTCGACTATCTCCTGTGCTGCCATCATTTTCTCTTCTCTTATTATATGCTCTACCTAAATAAGAAAACATCAGAATCAAGCTCAATATGCGACAAACCATCTACCAAAACAAATATGACCTTTCAGTATTTAAATGCAACAAACTCACAGGCTTGCATAAATTACATCAGCTTTAGAAAATAAGTTTCAGCATATACCCGAATCCGAGCAGTAGCTTCCTGACCAGTCTCTAGTAGCTTAGCAATTTCTTTTCTCATCTGCTTCAGCTGCATCTCCCTACGATTCCTCAGTAGTTTGATACGAGGAATCGTCAATTTCAATAGGGTTTTACTGCAAAATAATTAGTAAAACAAAATCAGCAAAATTACTAAAAGAATTGGAAAGACATCATTTTTCTCCCAAATTTTCTACAAAAATGGAAATTTCAAAACCCCATTATTTCAAGTTTGTCAAATTTACATCATAAGTACCTTAACCAAAACAGACCCAAATCATCCAACTCCAAAACAAAACAGAAAAAAAAAAAAAAAAAAAAAANACATAAATGAAAACACAATCTCCAAAAAGTATATGCTAACTGCTCGTTTCCCATGATTCTACACCTACGCCAATAACACAAATATATATATTCATCAATAGATAAACTTTAGACGAACTAATTTACCAGAAAGAAAAAAAAAAAAAAAAAAAAAAAAAAAAAAAAAAAGGAGGGAAATTGAGGGGTTACCATTTAGCAGCTTTGAAACCTTTGCTGAAGAAAGAATCCATCAATAGAGTTAGATTCAGATCTTCAATATCTGAATGAATTATCACTTACCTAAAACAAAAACAAAAAAAGAGCGAAGTTTAAAATATGACAATAATTAAACCAAACTTGATAGTAGTATTTTCGATTAAGCAAATTTTTTTTAAAAAAATATTTAAAAAAAGGGAGATCAAAGACAAAGATGATGACGAAGTACCAAAGAAAAATAGGAAGATGTGTTAGATAGAAAAAGCACAAAAGCGAAACTGCTCCGCTATGTATATAAAGCCGAATGGGACGCGTACAAGCTATCAATGTCGACGACTACCGTAGTGTTTCCTTAAGCTGTAAGCATTATTGGGTTTCAACTTAATTTTAATTTTACTCCAAATTTGGGATAAAAATTAGGGATATTTTCTGAATTTTGGAACTGTGTAGACTTTTACCTTTCGATCACGATTACTAAGATGACGAATTTTGGTTGGATTTGAGCCAATTGCTGACGGTGAAAGAAGAAGATTTTTCTCAAAGGGACGGACACCTACATGTTTATTATAGAGAATTTTACATTATTCTTTTTGGCTAAAAAGATGATAAAATCGACAAGACACATCCAATTTTTAATGCTAGCTTTAATATTAATTTTTTGAAGTTTTAAATATATTTTTACACTAAAAATATATAAAAAGTATTTTTTTTGTAGTTAAACATATTCAAATATTTGAAACAATAGTCGGGTAAAACATAAACTATTGCCTCTCCGAAATAGCACCTAACAAATTTAGGATATAGTAAATATGTGCGAGCATTAACTTTGTGCATTACTTATCTTTTGTTTGGTATATTTTTTGAACTTATGTATAACTAATATTTGTATTAATTATATATTATATTTGGTATTATTCAACAACACCCCACTTGTGGGATTACACTGGGTTGTTGTTGTTGTTGTTGTTGTTGTGGTATTATTCAACAACAACAACAACAACAACAACAACAACAACAACAACAACGACCCAGTATAATCACACAGGTGGAATCTGGGGAGGGTAATATGTACGCAGACCTTACCCCTACCCCGAAGGGTAGAGAGACTGTTTC